GGGAACTCTGACTGTGACCCCGGGGTGACAGCTGGGGGACAGTGGGGCTGGGAGAGGAGAGAAGGCTTGCTTTCTACATGGAGCAGGCAAGGAGTCCGTTACTTCAGGAGGTGAGGGGCCTGAAGGCATGGGCTAAGTACATTTTGTATCCAGATAACAGAGGCACTGAATGCGGGTCTCTTTAAACCCCTGCTGGCTGTCAGAAGGCTTGGCTCAGACGCTGGGGTGAATGGGAGCTGAAGAGAAGGAAGGAGGTCTCAGCTGTGTAGTGGTGAGGGTGTGGGCATGTGGGTGGACAGAGGATGAGGCCAACATCATTATTCACAGTGTTGGAGGTGACGGTACCCAAGCACTGAAGCACTTTCCCAAAGATTTAACATCTATTAGATGTTTCAGATGAAGAAAGGGAAAAGCATTTCTTCATTTACACAACTGATATATATATATTTTTTTTGTGGCTCAGATGAGGGCTCACCATCCTCTTTCCTAATCCATTTGTCTCACTCCAGGAAGAGATTCCCAGAGTCCCAGGCCTGGGCACATGAAACCCTGAGGAAACTCTACTAAGCCCTAAGTTCTATAATTCCATGTTCTTGAGAGCTGATGGAAAGAAAAAACAATGAGAAAAGATATACATAAAGAATATCAAATCAAGGGCACAAGATTAAACAAGGCAAGGGAATAAAGAATAATGGAAGTACTGCTGTATGTGGATTGGTCAAGGCAGTGTTTGTCATAAGATAGTGTTTGAGCAAAGAGTTAAATAAATGAGGAGACCATTCATGTAGATAGCTAGGGGGAAGGAGAGAAATATTTGAAGAACATTTTCCTGAAACATTGAAAGACTTGAATTTTAAGATTAAAAAAAGAAAAAAACAAACATAGAAGTATAGAACAAGAATAATAAAAGAGACAAGAGCCTAGAAAGAGACACATCTGGGTCAATTGTGTGAAACTAAGGACAAAACAAAGATCAATATTTCAAAAAGGCACCGGGCCCAAATGGTTTCATAGGCATGTCACACAATACTTAAGCCATATATGTCATGCCTGAAAGGATCTTCCTCTGATTGATTATGCAGAAGTAGGAAAGGAATTACTTTGGAGAGGAAGGATGAGGATGTTTAAAAAACCAAAGTATTGTTATAAAATGATAGAAACATTTCTTAAACAAAAATATCAAAATAATAAGCTATTGATTTTCAAGATACCCTTCATTTAGGCCTAGACACTTCCGAAGGTGGGATTTCCATCCCTTTAACCCTTCTCCAAAGAATTCCACACTCTTCCATGTGCACTATGTCAATTGGCAGTTTGGGCATCCCTGAGTGACTCCGATTATGTTTTCAATGTCCCCTGAAATCTGAAGGGGCAAGATCAGGGCTGTCGAGTAGATGGGATACAGAAGTCTCGTGGAAATTCCCACAGAACAGTCCTTGCTACCCTTAAACATGAGCAAGTCCATTCTTGATGGGGCAAAAAATTCCTTGGTGCGATTTTCTTGGCATTTTTCTCACCAAAGCAATTTTCTTAAAACATCTTCATGATAAGCTCCTGTGGTTGTCCTATGACCTTTGAGGCAATCTACCAGGCTCACCTCTTGGCAAAGCAGACACCGTAACCTGATTTGACCTCTCTGCTTTGAACTGAACTGGCCCAGCAGATCCCCTTGGATCTGTTTTGATTGAAGGAACCCTAATGAAAATAAGCCAAGCATATCAATGAGAGTACTTGTCTATTGTCATCCATGGACTGGAGAGATATGTTTCAACGTGTTATATTTGCAATAAGCTTATGCGTCTAGGACCTGAAACTCTAATAGCAATACTTTTGGACCCATGCTGGAGGTTTTTTCAAAAAGGAAGCACTATTTTTCTTTTTCTTTGCCACATGTGTTTTCAAGAGTACCATGTGGCTTCTCTCTCTCTCTCTCTCTCTCTCTCTCTCTCTCTCTCTCTCTCTCTCTCTCTCTCTCTCTCTCTCTCTCTCTCTCTCTCTCTCTCTCTCTCTCTCTCTCTCTCTCTCTCTCTCTTTCTACCTCTCCTCCTTGATAGACATCACAGTACCAGATTCTCCCACTCTATTGAGAGCACTGTTCGGCCCCTAGAGATAGCCTGGGGCAAGTTCAATGTCTAACTGCTCTGGACGTCTTCCATCTAATTAGGCTGCCAAAGTCTTTGCACACATTCATTTACTAATTCGGTTGTTCACCAGGAGCATTGAATACTGATGTTCCAAGCACCGCACTCTAAAATTCCACAGTTGAGTCCAGCAGGAAGTGATCCTAAAGAATAGAATAGTAGAACCGCCCACAGGGTTTCCAAGGCTTGGCGGAAGCTGACTGCCTGCTTGTACTACAGAAGAGCTGCTGGTGGGTCCAAACAGCAGTGGAGCGCTTCACGGTGAGCGGGCATCAGAGCTTTGTGTGCTATGGAGGACAGGTATATAAGGCTTGACTTAGCCTGGGGGTGCAAGACCGAATCATGAATGAAGTTAGCCAGGCCCACGTGGGTGATAGAAGAAGGAAGGAGGAAGATGAAGCAAGCGGAGGAGCAGCATAAACAAAAGCAGTTCCTGGTAACTAGCTTGGGCTCCTGGTTTCTTTTGGGAAAATCGTTCCTCTCATTTCTCCAGCAATCAGATCCTTGGCCTGGTGGAGGTTGGGTCCTCATTTCTACGTACTTTCTTCCCAAGCTGACCCTGTTTGCCTTTTGTCACTCAGACATTCATTGATTCAACAACTGGACACTGTGTGGCTAGGTGCCACGGATAGGAAGCAAAGCAATGGATAGAAATCACTGCTCTGGTAGAGCTCCCAATTTACTGGAGAATAGATCAAATAAAACACGAATTATATAATAAATCCAAAGGTAGTACCATCATGTACCAAGTACCAAAAGTTCCTAGAAGAAAGAAAGGAAATAGGAACAGTCCGGAGGAATGCTACCATTTTAGATTGTATGCCTAACACGGGGCTCCCTGAAGAGGTGGCACCTGAAGGAAATCTGAAGGAGCTGAGGTCATGGAAGGCCGAGGCAATAACTTGAGCTTTTATTGAGTGAGTGGAGTGGGAGTCACTAGGATGTACTCTGTGAAGATGGAGGTGGTCTGACTTAGGCTTTCCAGGATCGTCCCGGCTGTTCTTCAATGTCTGGCTTATTGAAGCGCCTTCCTTGTGTGCAGAAGCTGGTATGGCTGGGCACCTTTGGGTGTGATTTTTTTTTGTCCACGAATTAGAGAACACCAGGCTAGGAGTGGTGTGAGGCCTGGGAAAGAGAGAAGTGCTGTGGACATGCTCCAGCCAACCTGCAGAAACAATACTTTTGCTTCTTTTATCAAAACAAGCCAATTCCATCTGTTCTCCTCCGCGTTGACTGGGCAGCCATCAGGGCTCGGAGAATGGCAGTGAGCACTGACCTGCTCTGTGAAATAGAAAACCTCATGACCAGCTCCAAGCTCAGTGCATCTCATCTCATCTCACCTCAACTTATCCTCATCGTCACCGATTTCATTTCGACTCACTGTGAGCATACAGAACAGAATACTGGCAGAAAGGCCCCTGTGGGTTTCCCAGACTCCAAAGCTTTATGAGAGGAGAAAGCCTCCCGTGGAAATCCTTTTTCGTCCAAGTTTGGGGAGTGGCACACCTGCAGCTATATTCCTAGAATTGAGCGAAGTTCTAGGATGCTGGGGAGAACTACTGGCATGCATTTAAGTCGTCCAGAAGGAGCCTGGGATGATCCTGGCTGTGAATGCTGGTTGGTAGCTTTCTCCCTTGGGTTACCCCATCTCCCAGAGCCGGCATCGGAAAAAAAAGGGCATTCCTTTCAAGCTGCTGTCGGTAAGATACTTCCTCCCCACCCTCCATCAAGCCCGACAGATCAAGCCCACCCTGCTGCTCTGCTTACCGGCTTTGCAATCTCGGGAAGTCCCTTTCTTCTGAACATTTTATGCACCTGTAGAAACATTTTATGCACCTGTAGAATTGCTGGCTGCAGTTCAAACAAAAGGTTGGTTAAAGTACGTGGCATTCTCGCTTCTCTGGCCTCTCTGAAGCAAGTCGCTCTTCCTCCCTGAGAGTGGCACTGCAAACACTTCCCAAGAGCCCGGCGGCTTTAAGGTGTGTGCGCAGGATTGGGGACAATAAAACATTGTTCGGTCTTGGGAAGTTGCCCCAGAGACCGGGCGCGGAGCAGAAGCGGCGGTAAGCAAACCTCCGCAGGCCGCTGGGGTCTGTGCGCGCAGGCGGCCACGTAATGCGGGCACCTTCCTGGGTGTCACTGTTACTTTCCAAAGAAAAAGAACAAATCTCGTCTTTCTCGGACAACGCGGGCACCAAGACGAGTCCCCGGCACCCCACGGGGGACACAGCGCCCCGCGCTGGCGATGGGGCGCTCTGCAGGAAAGGGCGGGGCGGGGGGGGTGCAGCCCTGCCGGCTGGCCTCGCAGCGCCCGCTCCCACGCCCCCTGCACCTGGGGCGATTCTAGGGATTTCTGCGCACCCTGATTCTACACCCCGCGTCTGTTGCGCGCTCCTGGGGTGGGATTTGGCTTTAGGAGCTGTCTCCAGGGCTTCGGTGCGCCTTCCGAGAAGGGAAGGGAGAGCAGGGGCGGGCCGGGGATGGGAGTACTGGGAGCAGTCCCCAAAAGAGCAGAAGGGGTGGCGGGCTGGTGAACACCGCCCGCGGGCTGGCAGGCCCCGGTCTCGCTAGCTTGGGGGCGGGGCCACCGGGGCGGGGCAGAAGCGCGTGACGTCACGGCGCGGGCCAATGGGGGGCGCGCTCGGGGCCGAGCCTCCTGCGAGCCTTCTCGGCGCCCGCACGCGTCACGTGACCGGCCCCGGAGTGAGCGCCCGGTGAGCGCGCGGGCGGGCGGGCGAGAGCTCCGGCCGCAGCTATCCGCCGGCCTGCGGGCGAGCCAGCGAGCTCCGGAGCCGCGGCACCGCCCGCTGCCGCCGCCCGACCAGGGAGTCGAGCCTCCGCGCCCACCTCGCCCAGCCCGGTCGGGGCTGCAGGACCGCGGGAGGCCTGGCCGGCGGCCGGGCGTGCGCAAAGTTCAGGTGAGAGAGCTTGTGGCCCGCTGAGCCGCCGAGTAGACGTGGCCCCGGGCGCCCAGAGTCAGGCCCGGGGCACGAGAGGCGCTCAGCTTGGCGTCGGGACGCACGGCCGGGCGCCCGAGCCGCTGTCCGAGCTGGGCAAGAGGACCCAAGGCCAAGTCTCAGGAGCGGCTTGAGTTCACAGGGATTGAGCGCAGGGGTTCGGATTAAGTCCTTGGGCGATTGCCCCTCCCCCTTACTGGCACTTGACCAGCACCTGTCGGGGCCCCCCACCTCCGTGCCTGGACCCCCCTAGTCCGGTGTGTTTTGCGAGCTGGCCTTCCCATATGGCCCGTGCCGGGGCCAGGCCTGCTGGGGGTGGGGGGTGGAAAGAAAAGGGAGGGGGGAGGAGGGGAGGTCGCTCAGGGACCAGAGGCAGAAGGGGTTACTACTGGTCACCCCTGCGCAGTGGACTGTGGAGGGTAGAGGGGGTGGCGAGGGCACGGGCCGAAGGTGTGGTGGCTAGTGGGCAGAGCTTGAGGGCACCTCCGGGAGAGGGTTGGAGTGGGCCCTCAGCGCCTCCCTTTCCCCAGCTTGTCTCTACTCACGCACCAGCAGCTTCACACCGGACACGCACACACACGCACGCACGCGCGCGGACACCTTCCCGCACGGTCACACCGAACACCACACCCCGCACATGCACACGGCAGAAACTTACACATCCCTTTCGCGCACACGCCACTCGGGAACACCCGCGTATTCACCCAGGTCGCATACTCCTACCCTTCACCCAAACCCCCACCCACCCACCCCCACCCCTCCTTTAGATCAAACCTTAGTGGAACTCTACCAAGGTGTATTCCGACTCATTGAAGCCTATAGTAGAGGTAGCAGGCTCGGGGCAGGAGACCACCCCCTCTGATGCCCCATGGTCATCCGACTTCATGACAAACATCCTCAAATTTTAGAGCCCCGCGCCCCACCGCCCTCCCCATAAACCTCGCCACTCAGGAGCTCGCGCCACCTCACAGGTATGAGGACATGAGGCTTGGTGACTTTGGGGCTGGAGGGCAGCTTTGGGAATGGGGACTCTTATTTTGAAAGGCGGCCCGCCGCCTACCCCCGCCCCCACCCCCGTGATTTGCACGCTGACCCAATGGCCAGCCCTTGGCCAGTGCTCGACTTGTTATCAATTACATGTTGTTCCTGCAGCCGCTGTGTCCCCGGGAGGATAAACAGCAGGCCTGGCCCAGCCGGGGCGGGGGGACGAGGGGGGAGGAGGAGGCGGAGTCCGGTGGTGGGCTGGGGACGGTGCCCGGAACAGCGTGTCCCCTCCCCCTGCACGCAGCCTTTGCCTCTGGCTGTGCCACGTGCTGCTGTTTTTTTAGGGCCTGGAGCCGGTTCCCAGCCCTGGCACGCCCTGGCTTTTCAGATCGCGGTCCCAAGAACCCACTCTTGGCTCTTAAAGTGCTTCAGCGGTCCACTTTGGCCGCTCAGCCTTTGAGACTGATGCCTATCCAAGCTGTCCTTCCCTCTCCCTTTCCTCCTTCCTACCTCTGCACGCCCCCACCCCAACTTCCCTACAGCAAAAATATGCCAGTAGGTGCTTTAGACTCAGAGAGATGGCTCATGTTTTGATGGCCTGGGGGAAGAAGTGGGTGGGAGGCTTATAGACAGGGCAGGAAATGCAAACGCATAGCGCAGATGGGTTACCGAAGCTGCTCAGGAGAATAGAATCCAGAGGGATCGCTGGGTGGGCAAGGAGGACTTCCATAGTCAGTGACTTCTGAGCCAAGATCAGATAAGGAAACCCCATGTAGAGGAGGAGGATGGTGGCTTTAGGGGAGAAGGAACTTGTGAGGCTGGTGCACAGTGTGGTGACTTCTGTGGAGAGGTGGCAGAAACCTGTCTCTGGGCACCCAGAGGAGCTGGAGCTGCCTCTCTTTGGAGGCCTGTCAGAGAAGTGCTTTTTTCCCACCCCCACTCTCATTGTACCTGTTTTACCCAGTATTTCTTTTTATTTCATTCTATATGTAACTCTCAGGTTGTAGCTGTAAAAGGTAGGGCCTCTTTAACCCTATAATACCATCATTACAGTTAAAAAATATTAACAGTGAGACCTGATATCAAACAGTGATTACATTGCAGGGAAGGGTTATAAGCAAGGCCTATTCCAGAGAGATGGGGTTTCCGAGATAACATCCTATCTCAACAGAGGACCAGAAAGACCACATGCTCCCTATGAAGGCTGGTTGTAGAGGTCATAGTGGCAGGTGTTGACTGAGAGCTTGCGATCCTGTGTATCTCCTGGGATTCTTACACATCTGGGGCCAGACACTGCCTGCTGTAGCCCCCTTTTAACAGAACAAGATACAAGTTCAGACAGGTATGTGTGCACTGTGAGGGGGCGCCAGGGGCCCTGCACCTCACTGCCTCTTCACATTACCTGGTATTCCAGGCCTTTCAAGCATCTCATTAGTGTAGAGTACATATATTAGAACTTCAGCTGAGTGTTTGGAAACCAAAAGCAAAATGTTCTGGCAAAACTGCCCTTCCTTCTCAGGAAGATATGTCAAGGGCATCTTCCCTCCGTTAATTTCCCAGAGCTCCTTGAATTTTCCTGGATGAGTTGTGAGCTGAGGTCAGGGGTCCTGAGATCACACAGCAGAAGAAGGGCCTAGCCATCATTGAGGCATGATCCAGATAAGAAAATTGAGGCTTTGAGGGGTGCAAAGACTTGCCCAAGGTCACAGCAGCCAATGCCTTGCCCTGGTTGGATTCTGCCGAGGCCCAGCCTTTTAACAGTTTGACAGCTCTGAGTGCCAGGTATTGAGTGGTCCTGAGGCAGATAATGGGGTAGGTACGGAGGGAGGCCAAGCAACAGAGTCTCTATTCCAGATGCAGAATACCCATCTTCCCCAACTGATAAACGGCAGCCATGATTTTGAGTGGGGACAAAGGTCCACAGGTGGCCCTGTTAGAGCTTGACACTGTTGACTCTCCTTGAACATGGGACCTGGTTCAGCCATCAGCTTAGACTGCCTACCACTCTGCCCTCTCTTCGCCTCCCCTGGGCCCTCCTTGCCTCCATGTGGGGGCTGCACTGAAGTGGACCTGGTAGCTGGCCTGCCCTCATGGCCCACAGCATCTAGGGCAAGCTGGGCATTGGTGAGCCTTCTGAGGCAGTGAGTGATCCTGTATGGGGACAAAGGAGCAGGGTTGCAGGGCAAGGCTTATCACCTCCTACCCTTGGCTCTTGTGAAGTCCAGCGTATGCGTGGGAGAGGCATGGACCCCCAGCTGGCTGTCCCCCTGTGAGTTATGGCTCTGTGGGGTGGCAGCAGTGAGGCCTGAGGGTGCAGAATAGGCTGCAGGTGGAGAGTTCTCTCCATCAAGCCCTTTCCTTCCTGTTTCACCAGGAGGCAGCCAAGGAGCTGAGGGGCCTGGGAACTGGGGCAGGGGAAAGTCTGAATACCTCAGGTGTTGATTAGAGCTTGAGAGGGCAGGTGCTCGTTCATTGGCTGTGATTTTTTTTTTTTTTGCCTGAAAATTACCTTGCCAGATTCAAGTACAGGCTTGTCTGATAAATTTGAATTTCGGGGAAAATAGTTTTAATAGAAAGAAGTGTGTCCATTCAATATAGGAATTAAATGTAAAAGGTAATTTGTATCCAAAATTCAAATTTCATTCTAAAACAAAGAAACGTTGCCTTCGAGTCACTGCCGACCCTAGCAACCCTGTAGGACCAGGTAGAACTGCCCCTGTGAGTTTCCGAGACTGTAACTCTTTATGGAAGTGGAGAGCCCTTTATTTTTACTCCGCTGAGCTGGCTGGTGGTTTCAAACTGCTGGCCTGTCAGATTGCAGCCCAACAAATAACCACTATGCCACTGGGGCTCCTCTGCATTTAATTAGGCTGCCCACATTGTTATCTGCTCAATCTGACAACTCTACTAACACACCAACAACTCTGTTCTGTGTTGCTGGGGTCAGGGGACATTCGACTCATCCCGTAACTCCTCAGTGACCCAACAGGAATGACTCTTAGGGTAGGTGCACTCTGAAATGCAGCCTTTCCATTCAGCTCAGCTGTGGGCTGACTTCTTAGGATGACTCCCTGACCTTGGCTGCTCCGGGGTCCACAGAGCTCCAAGGAGACTCACTTTCTCTCTCAAACACATGCCCAGACTCGGCCATTCCCAGCTACATGGGATGTCCTTTTCCAGAATCATTCTGGAAAGTTTGTTTAAAACCAAACGTGCTTGGATGATGCAATGGGCTTGGAAAAGACGCTTTTGCAAACAGGTGGTGCAATTTTGGAAAACGCTCTTGCAGGCACAGCCCTCCCATGGGACAAGACAGGCAGAATCCAGGCATTTGGCCATGGGCAGCTCTGGAAGCCAACCCAGGCAGCCAAGGGTGGGGTTAGCCATCCACAGGGCCCAGGTGAGTATACCTTCCTCCTGACTCAGCTTCCCTTGTCCCATCTCTGCAGCCGCCACCCGGCACGGCCAGGCCAGCATGGTGGACCACTTGCTTCCAGTGGACGAGACCTTCTCGTCGCCAAAATGCCCAGCCGCTTACCTGGGTGACCGGTTGACTGGCCCACGGGCCTACCACATGTTGCCCTCCCCACTCTCGGAAGATGACAGTGACTCCTCCAGCTTTTGCTCCTGTGCCAGCCCTGACTCCCAAGCCCTCTGTTCCTGCTACAGTGGCCACGCAGGCACCAAGGGCCAGGATAGCATCTTGGACTTCCTGCTGTCCCGGGCCACACTGGGTGGCGGCGGCAGCATCGGGGTCAGCAGTGGCCCCATGGCCTGGGGGCCCTGGAGGAAGGCCCCAGCACCTGTGAAGGGGGAGCATTTCTGTTTCTCGGCGTTTTCTGCGGGGGACCCCGATGAGGTGGCGCGGCCCTTTCAGCCCACGCTGGAGGAGATTGAGGAGTTTCTGGAGGAGAACATGGAGCCTGGGGCCAAGGATGCGCCCGAGGGAAGCAGCAAGGACTTTGAGGCCTGTGGCCAGCTCTCAGCTGGCCCACCCAGAAGCTACCTCCATCCCGAGTCTGGTGGGAAGGAGTGCTGTACCCCTCTGCCAGGCAGCCCTAGCACCAGCAGTGCCCACAGCCCAGGTGGGGGGCCAGCATCTGAGGGCCCCATCCCAGTACTGCTCCAGATCCAGCCAGTGCCCGTCAAGCAGGAGGCAGGTACAGGGCCAGCCTCCCCTGGGCAGCCCCCAGAAAGTGTCAAGGTGGCCCAGCTCCTAGTCAATATCCAGGGGCAGACCTTTGCACTTGTGCCCCAGGTGGTGCCCTCTTCCAACTTGAACCTGCCTTCCAAGTTTGTACGCATTGCCCCAGTGCCCATTGCCGCCAAGCCCATTGGGTCGGGACCCCTGGGGCCAGGCCCTGCGGGCCTCCTCGTGGGCCAGAAGTTCCCCAAGAACCCTTCGGCAGAACTCATCAAGATGCACAAATGCACTTTCCCCGGCTGCAGCAAGATGTACACCAAAAGCAGCCACCTCAAGGCCCACCTGCGCCGGCACACGGGCGAGAAGCCCTTCGCCTGCACCTGGCCGGGCTGTGGCTGGAGGTCAGTATGGCAGAGCCGGGGGCGGGAACAAGGTTCGAACCTAGCTGCTCACCAGGGTTTCAGTGATTGCCATCTCTTCCAATGCTAGAGGAAGGGCTAGCCAAGGAGGGGTGGGGTGGGCAGGTGGGCAGGACCATAGCTTGGCACAGTTTCCCAGAGCTGTTTTTGTCTGTCCTGATTCCTCAAACCAGAAACCAACTGGCTTCCAGGTGCACAATCACCAGGTAAGACTCGCTGTGGCTTCCGATGCCTCCTGGCCTCTGGAGCCAAGCAATGGAGCCGGGCAGATGAGGGTGAGGGCTTGGTGACTAGGCGACAACAGAGGGGCAATTCACAGCAGTAAGCTGTGGACTAGACAAGAGCTAAGTGCTGTGTGCCTCTCTGACCCTCACAGTACCCCCAAGGGTAAGTGTTATATCACTCCTATTTGATAGCTGAGGGGCCTGAAGTCCAAGCTGGCAAAGTCACTTGCCCAAGGTTATATAGTATTGTCATTGGGATTTGAACCCAGGGGTTAGATTAGAGAGTCCACAGCCTAGATAGCCTCCCTCCCCAGCCAGCGGGACCAGCTCTGCTTTACAGATGTGCTTGGGCATGCAGGTGCCACAGGTTCAAGTCCTTGCCCAGCCCTTGTTCCCGGGGTCCTCCTGGTGTATTTGGGAAACTGCCTGCTGAAAACCAAACAAAGGAAAAACCACCACCGCTCCTGGTGACGTGGAGGGCTTTCTGCTTGGCCTCGTAAGGACAGGGCCTCATCTCAGGTAGCCTCTGTGATCCAGACTACAAGGACCCTGAATATGGTCTCTTCTTTTGGTGGGGTAGGGGCAGAGGGAAAAGTGTGGGCAGCTGGTCACAGGAGTCCTTGCTGGCTGAGGCTAGGTAGGGACAGGGATTTCGTGAGTGGCGTGTGCAGTGTGGCAGAGCTAGCCTTGGCGCTATCAAGGTGCCTGTCTCTTGGGAAGAACTAGGAAGGAAGGTCCTTTATCCCGACCCCCGTTGGGAAGTACTCAAGACAGGCATCCTCCTTACATGTGGCCAGAGCCTTCAGCAGATGGAGAAGGGTCTTTGAGTAAAACGTGGGTGAGAGGACAGGAGAAGTGATGAGAGGCTGGACTCCCTGAGCCCTTACTGTGTACAAGTGTTCTCTGTTCCTCAGATCGAAACCTGCTCATCCCCACTCTTGCTCACATGCCTCTTGTACTGGGGCCACCTGAGTTACTCCCAAGCTTCTCATTGGCCCCAAAGATCCATACCGTCTGTTTCCCTGCCTCTGTCCCTTCCTAATGGCACCCAGCTCTGCCAAACTTGGCCTTGGCCTCTGCCCCCTGTGCTCTCTCTGGCCTGCTTCTCCCCAGTGACTCTGTAATGATACTGCTCCCGCTACCCTTTGATCCTGCGCCTGCTACTCTTTGATCCTGCGCTTCCTCAGCACCCCCACGTGCGTTAGCTCCTCACATTCTCACAGCCACCTCATGCAGTGTGGGCACCGATCCCAGTTTACAAGGGAAAACCAAGGCACAGAAGGGTCAAACCTCTTTCTTGCTCACAGGGATATTGCTCTGGGGGCAGGGGCAGGGGCCAGTGGATGCACAGGCCTGCTTAGGCCCATCAGGAGCAGTGTGGCAGGCCTTCTCTGCCTGGAGTCCCAAGCTTGGTGGCATTCCCTTTGTATCTGGTGTCGGCTGACTCTGCCTTCTCTCCTTCACGAGCTGTCTGGGGTTGGGCTTACGGGCCACTGGGTGGCTCCTTAGAAGCCCCTTGTGACAGTTAATACTGCTCGGGCCCACTTAATTCTCAAAATAAGCCAGCCAGAGAGGCAGCTGTATTATCGTCCCCATTTTGCAGAGGAAAAAGTCAAGGCACAAAACAGTGACTTCCCAGGCCTCCTCACTAGCCTCATGTCATCTAGCAGGGGTGGTGTGGGTGTGGGAAGATCTCCGCCTCTCCTTGCCACTGGGCTTTGATGTCAGGACATCAACCCCGCATGTCCTCCAGGAAAAGTCCCCCACCTCTCTAGGTCTCTCTCTCAGGTGGCCCTGGCGGGTGATGTGCCCTTCCCCCTGCCAGGCTAGCTTGGTTCTGGCACCACACCCAGACTGAGCACCTCCACCTCACCTGACCATGGGCACCTCTGTGTGACACATACTTTCGCTCCGTCCCTGCAGTCATCACATGCACCAGCCACCAGCCTCCACGCCCTCTGTGGGCCAAGGCCCCTGATTCCCTGTCCCTGCCTCTCCTGTGTTGCAATTCAGACACCCGTGATGGGCAGACACCGACTGTTCTCCACGAAACCTCACCTTCTGGGAAGTGACTGTGCACCTACTTTCTTAGAAGTCCCCTCGCTGCTCCCTCAGATGCAGGCCTTCTTTGTTCCCTGCAGCAGAACATCCTGCTCTGGAATAGCGAGGCCACGCTGTCCAAAAGGAACCCCTACGATCACAGCGAACATTAGTCCTGAGGCCCACCGTCCTAGGTGGCAGGTTCCTTGTCGTCCACAGTTGACAGGAAGAACAGGAAAAGGAGTTGGAGGTCTAAGGCTTCAGGGAGGGAGTCGTGGGAACAGGGCCCCAGACCACCGCTGGCTGGCTCCTACTCGTGGCTTCTTGCAGTCCCATGAGAAAAGGTGAGCCCCAGAGTGTGGCTGGGGAGGGGGTACATTGTACCACCCTGGAGCATCATTCACGCTGCAGCCCTTGGGGGCTCCAGGAACTGTGAACTTGGCACTCTGAGTGGTGGTGGTAGGAGAGGGGCTCCAGGAACGGGCACCTGCAGTTGACATGCACAGGTGCTGAGTGAGCTAGTGGTGCTGGCATTAAGCTGCTCGGGCCATGGAGACTCTGAGGCTGCAAACTTGCAGCCCAGCAACTCCACAGTCGTAGTCCGGCCCACATCCTCCAGTACCTCTCCAGGTACCAGGCTCTGTGCTAACTCCTTTGAGCTGATAGGAGCTCACTGGGAACAATGACAAGTACTTTCCTGGATGCTTTACTTCTCAGCTTTGAAAATCCTCATAATCCTATGAAGTAGGTCCATCACTCTGTTTCCAGGTAAGGACAGGGATTCAGAGCTTACTGGCTTGCCGGGTCACTTGGTCAGTAGAGATCA